CGGAGCTGCCAGTCTGCCTGTATAAAGGGCACAAGACTTCCACATCCGTCCTGCACTCTGCAGCCACTGGTGTCTAGAACAGTTTGCAAAAGCAAAAGGAAAAGAGAGGAAGCTGCCTCCCACAACAGATACTGCTCCTTCCTGCTGTGAACACAGATGTCTGGATGCCCAGCACAGCACCCTCCCAGACCCGTTTCCTCCCAGAGCTGGGACGACATCCAGAACCCTGGACTCGCAGCCCTCTGCCCTCTCCTCTCAGAGCCAGGAGAGGACCCACATGTCCAGGCTGCCACATCTCCTTACTCTACCCTACAGGACGGTGCTCCCTTCATACTGAGCAGCACAGCCCAGATCTCCTGACAGTGCCATATGGCCTGTGTCCTGGGCAGTGCAGGGGAGCTCGCCTGGATGGCTCTGAGATCTGTAGTGGGGGCAATGGTGGAGTCCCATGTGTGTCTGGTCCAGCTCCAGGGCTGCCAGGTCCCGCAGAGATCAGAGCAGGCCCCGGCAGCCTGCACCCTGAGGCAAAGAGCACCTGGGCAATGAGAGCAGGCTCCCCGGCTCTGGATGCAGTGGGGAGCACAGTCAGGCAGCCCAGCCTGCCCTTCCTTAGCCCGTCACACAGATGAGGGAGCCAGGGACAGCCAGCAGGGCAGAGCCCCTCCACTGTGGATGGGGATGGTCTTGTGCCCCATGGCCCTGAAGGCCCTGATAGACTTGTAGTGAGGTAAAAGACCCCATGCCAATCCTCCAGTGCCCACAGCTGCCGCAGAGGTGAAGCCCTGTGGAGCGGTGACCAGTCTGGCCAAGGCTGGTGTCAGCCCAAACAGGGCTTGAGCCTAGAGACCGCCTGTGCCCATGCTCCAGGGAGGCCAGACTGGGCCGGGAGCCAAGGCTCAGGTACTGGCCCACCATGTGGCACAGCTGGAGGCATGGGCAGACCACAGGGATGTAGAGAAACGAAGCCGGCTAAGGAAGAGACTGCAGGGCCAGTGCTCCCAAGCCGTCCTATAGCTAGATGACCCCACAGCCCTCCCCAAGCTGAGCTAGAACCAAGGGACCTGCGTGTAGCCATGAGGCCAAGATGAGTCCTGCCAGGCTTGTTTCCTCTGTGAGATGATGCCCTGCTGCCCCCAGGCCAGGCTGCTGTCTTCTGCAATGGAAACCTGGCTGGCAGAACCCACGCCGCTCCCCGACCCTGGGCCTGCTGCACTGGAGGCAGCTCTGGCCTCAGGGGACAAAACCAGAATCATAGAAATCCTGGAGCTGTGGGGCTGGGAGGGACCTGCAGGCATCACGTCCGGTCTGACCCTGAGATGAGGCAGGATCTGCCCTATCCAAACCAGCCGAGACAAATCATCATATAACCCTTTAGTAAAAAGATCCTGCAGCAGAGCACTAGATCTCCTTTCATGTAGCAAGTGCCAGAGAGGCTGCTTGCAGGTGCTAAAGGGGCTATTGAGAGACTTACCTGACTAGAAGGGGGCTCAGGCTGGAGCTATATAAGCTCAGAGCCTGCACCTATCAAGGGCAGTGTTGCCCTGGCAGCTGTGAAGGGAGGAGCTCCTGACCTGACAGTGGAGCTGGATGAGAAACTCTGAAGATGGGGAGACAAGGGAAGGTACCTGGGGCAGGGAGGGTTCCTGTCTATAGGCAGGTGGCCTTGGTTTTAGGCTAAGCCCTGAGAAGGTTTGGGACTTCACGTGCCAGCTGTAACTCCCTTACTAGAGTGCTGTCATCCACAGGAAGGGGTCAGTCGTCCAGTTGGGATGTGGGGTTAGTTGTTACAATAGAGGCTTAATGAGGACAAAGAGTCTTCCTGTTTCTTCCTAAAATCCAGAATAACACATGGTGGTAGCAGTGGTGCATCCTGCCACCAACAGGCAATCAAACAGGTGATTCCCAAAGGATGGATTGGAATCCAATCCATGTGCAGCTGAATCCAGTGCAGAGCAGAGCTGGTCGCCTCTACCAGAGCCCAGTAATGCTGAGGCTGGCTGCAGAGACCATGCAGGCACTCAAAGTTGCATTACCAGAACAGTTTGATTTCCAGTCCCTTGGAACGTGGCCTGGATGTGGGACTGGAGGGTCCTGCCTGGCCTGGCGCAGGCCCCGGACTCCCTAGCTTGTTTCTGCAGCCATATGGCTGAGGGCAGGCAAAACTTGGGGGCCTGCACATAGGATGCCAGCCAAAGACATTGGAAATATCTGAAGCCCCTAGCAGGGATGGAGGATGTTTGCCATTGTAGGGCCAGTTATGGCTCTGGACCGACTCATGGATTTGGTCCTGATTTGGCTTGGAACAGGAAAAATGTCTTTAAAAAAATACATAATGAAAGAAAGAAAGAAAACCTGCTGCGCAGGCAGCGTCTTGCTGGGCAGTGGGAGCAGGACAGGGTGGGGTGCATGGAAATGGCTGCCTCCCTCCCAGGGCTGCCCTGCCGCCCAGCTTTAACCCCGCACGTGACAGCTGGCAGCTGGCAGCAAACCCTTTGTGCAGCTCGGTGGTTGGGAACTTCTGCACCAGGTGATGGGGCCTTGGCTTGGGCTCTGCCCAGACACTGGGAAGAAGGGTCCACAGGCACGTGGCACCCGGGGCTGCTTCATGGGGGCTGAGGCAAGTGAAAACACTGGAGTCTGCAGGCACACAGTATCAAAGCCTAGCCTGTCCCAAAGCCCTCTCCCGTCCCAGTGTTAGGTGAGGACCCCGGAGTCCGGGCAGGCAACCAACAGGCCAAGGGACGTCCTCTGCTCTCGGCTGCTGTGGAAAACCAAGGGGTCCTGGGAGCAGAGCCTGGAAAGCTCCCGTGTGTTGCATCATTGTGGCAGGGCACTTAGCGTGCCTGTTACTTTAAGAGGGTAAGAGGCTGCTTGAGGAGCAGCCTGTAGGTGGCACGGGCCAATTAGAGAGGGACCTGACCAGGAGAGGGCGGGGCTTGAGGCATATAAACCCAGGGGCTGGGTCAGAGAGTCTGGCCCTGGGAGCTCCTGGGCAGCAGGAGGAGCTCCTGGGCAGCAGGGCTCCTGGGTAACATGTGAGCAGGGGTTAGCAACCCTGCTGGTTTGTGGAAGGGACCAAGGGGAAGTAAGGAGGTCCCTGCTGGCCCTAAACGGAGAGAGGGGCCACAGAGCCTGGAGGTTTATAGCCCAGCAGGGTGAGTGTCAGCAGGGCCAGGGAGCCCAGGGGTCTGCAGCCAGGAGCGTGAGCATGAACAGGGCCAGGGAGCCCAGAGGTCACACTGGCCCAGGAGCGGGGCAAGGGCTAAGGCTAGGGTCCAAGGGCTGAAGGCCAAGGAGGCCCACAGCCAGAGACTGGCCCAGGGGAGTTGAGGAGTCTTGTCTGGCCTCAAAGTGGGGTCAGGGTGCAGAGAGAGGGGTCAAAGGCCGGGTGGGTCACTGCCAGAGCCGGAGGGGGCCAAGGAACCTGTAGCCCAGGAGGGTCGAGGACTGGAGCGGGGACCCCAATGCCCAGGTGGGGCATGTGTCAACATGAGCAGTGGGTGGTCTGAGCCATGTAATTAGCCCTTAAGGCAGGCAGTGGAGACCCCTGAGCTCAGGAGCATGAGATCAGGCTTGGGAGACCCTGGGACAGCCTCCCTTGATCTCACAGATAAATACGTCAAGGCAGGCCGGCCAGTGTGGAGTCACTGCACAATGAGCAACGTTGATAAGGGCCAAGAGGCCTCCAGAGGCACCACAACCAGCCCTGGAGTTAGACCCTGTTACTGCCGCCAAGGGAGAGCGGGGCTGTGGGTTGGCGCAGGGAAGTCAGGGGTGCTGGGGCCATGGGGTTATCCTGCGCAGATCCCAGTCCACCCAGTCTGAGGTGAGCTCAGGAGGGGGCCTGGGCTCAGGGCTCTTCAGTCCTCACCATGCTGGGCTAGACCCCAGAAGTCCAGGCCAGAGGGAGACTGGGAGAGGACAGCCCCCTACTTGTGACGGCTGCGGAGAGGAGGGCCAGTTTGGGGCCCAGCCCTATTTGCACCACAGTGGACCTCCATGCAGGGCAGCAACAGGCAGGGGGCAGCGACCAGCCCTCAGGATGGACTCGCTGGTGCTGGGGACCGGGGGGTCCTGAGTGACCGTGTCCCTGAAGCTCCCTCTTACCTTTCCCAAGGCCGCACCGGACTCTCCTGCCCCCCTGCCCTTGCACGGGGGAAAGGCTGCTGTCTGCAGGGCCTCAGGGCTTGCCCTCTGCTCCAGGAGGGATGCAGAGGTCCGGTGGGAGCCAGTGTGGGGGGCAGCCCATCACCCCAGGTTTTGCTGAGCCCAGGAAGAAGCTGCAACCAGAGAAGACGGCTCTGGCCCGGACACCTGGGTACTCTCCCAGGCTCTGAGGGGACACCTGTGCATGCCCAGCCTCTGCAGAGCTTGGGGACACCCAGCTAGGGCAGGGGCCAGCAGCACCATAGACTAGGCATTGAGCAGAGCTGCTGAGTGCTGGCTCCCACACTGGTGCGTGGGCAATGCTGGACCTGGGGACACTGGCGGTGTCAGGTTAGGTGTTCAGCACAGACCACCCCATGGGCCCAGCCTGGCACGGCAGCTCCAGGCGGGCAGGGTGGCAGGTCTGATACAGCTGCCTGGCCCAGAGCGAGGCATCCCGCCTGGGGCTGGGGTGCTCATCCCCGTGCCCTGCACTGTGCCTGAGGATGGCGCCCAGTGGGGCCTCTCCTTACAGCCGTGGGGCACGCTGCATTGGGCCCAGGCACCGCAGCTCTTAGGGCACGGCTTGGCCTGGGACAGGCAAGGGGGAGTTCCTGAGCCCTGCCTGGGGCATCAACTAGGGTTTGGCCTGAGCCCGTGTCCTGCTGAGCATCCAGCAAGGTGCATTGCACAGGGTGGCCCAGGACACGGAGGAGAAGGGATCTGACGGGCTGGCTGTGCACACGGGGCCAGAGCAGGCCCAGGGGAGTCCTGCTGCCCCCAGGGGAGGTCCCAGGACTGGGGTCCTCTGACAGCCCCATCCCCTCCAAATGAGTCCTTCAAAGAAGTGGGTGCAAAAGTGGAAGTTTATGAAGGATCTCCATAGCACAATGCTGCTAAGCAAGGACAGGATAATCCCAGACAAGCCAAGCATGCAAGAGAGATCTAGATGCAGAGACCTAGACATGTCCAAAGAAGCAGGACATGGGGATCTCAAACCCCTAGGGTGCAACCTCCTGCAGCACAAAGAACAGCTGAGCGGTGAGCAGTGCATGCAGGAAACCCTACCCTGTCTCAGCAGTCCCGTTCTCAGAAGTGCCCTGCCGGACCTTCAAACACCTGCAGGCGGGAACCTTGGCAAGTAGGTGCCACAGCAGCACTGCGCTGGGTCCGTGCCCCCTTGTAGCCCTCCCTCTCCCGGCCTCAGTCTCCAGCTTCCAGAGTCACTGGACCCAAGTGGCATAGACACGTCCAAAAGCCCCTGCCCTGTGTCACGTCGCGGTCACTGCCCTTAAACCACTGACCAAGTGTCCTGGATCTGACCCAGCCTTTCTCAGCTCCCAGCTCCCCTCTTATGTCCTCTCCTGGCCTAGCACATTCTCATGGGGCCTGTCTGAACTTCACCTACTCCGCAAAAGCAAGGAAAGCCTGGCTGCAACAGCTGTACAGAGCAACAGCTCACAAAGGATTCAGAAGCCCACAGGCCGCAGCCCTGGGGGTGGGGGGTGGGGGGTGAGAGCCGGGGCTGGGAGCACAGACCCTCCTGCTCTCAGCTCAGGATGGGCCCCCTCTGGGCTGTGGTCTTCACATTACTCATCCTCCTCTTGCAGGCCCACTGCATCCTGTACTGCCACCACACTATCCATCTCCTGAATGAAGTGCTCAATGGCCTTTGCCTTACTGGGGTCTGATTTGTTCAGCCACTGAATCAATTTGTTCAGCTTTTGGCAGCACTGCATCCTCTCTGGTGTGGCGATGGGGATAGTGTAGCCATCTTGCAGCTTTTTGGCCGCCTGCTGCAGTGCCCTCCTCTTGTACATGAGGAACTTCCCATAGGACAGGCACAGGGCCTGGCGGCACCGCAGGCTGAACCCCAGAGCCTCCCGCTCCAGCTCCAGGTATATCTGCTCCTCCCAGGATGGGTCTCTCTCTCCGTACAGCTCGGCCAGCTGCAGCTTAATGAACACAGAGCCTGGATCTCGAATGACTGCCTCCTTCATGGCGCTGATGGCAGCTTGCAGCAGCTGCTCCTTCCTCTCTCCCTTAGCGTGGTACCATTGCTTTGTTAAGCTTCTGCCCATGGTCTGGTGGACGAGGTGGTAATCGGGGGCCTCTTGAACAGCCTGTTGCAGCAGCCTGGTGGATCTCTCTAGGTTGTGTTGCTGGAGGAGCTTGGCTGCAATTCTGAGGACCTCGGCATCACAGCAGCTTTCCACTGCAGCTGTGATCAGTGCCTCCACCCTCTCCTGCTGCTCCTCCTGGTCAAGTAGGCATGCTAGAAAAACCTTGGCCCTACGGTTCTCTGGCTGCTGCTGCACAACCTCCTCCAGCTGCCTCATCGCTTCCCCCTTCAGCCCAGGATCTGAGGAGTGGATCGAAGCAGCATAAAGGGCTGAGGCCAGCCCAGCATGGAGCTCCCTGCTGCCTGGGTCCTGCGCTAGGGCCTCCTCGAAGCACTGCCTGGCCCGCTGCCAGTGGCTAAGTCCGACGGCCAGGAGAGACCAGCCTTTCTGGGCAGAGATCTCAGCAGTCAGAGCCGTGCTCACAGGGGTTAGGGGGGCTGCCTGTGTGCGCTCCAGGTAG